TGTATGGAGCACGCAAAATTTACTGAACTCGACAGTTGTCTTTGATCATATTTTTAGTTAAAAAAAATAATTATATGTTTTATAATGAAAAGAATCTTATTATCTTTCAGTATTAGGTTGATTTATATTTCAAAGAATAATATTTTTGTTAAATTGTTGATTTTTGTAAACCTCTAAATGTTTGTTGCTAAAATTACTGTGTTTAAGAAAAAGATTAATAAATAATAATAATTTCATAATTAAAAACTTCTTTCATTGAATGCCATTAAATAATTCATTATTTTACAAAATAAGATCAACATAATTGAGTAAATAATAATAAGAACAATATTATAGTACTACAAATTATGGGTATGTCATACCCTGCCACATTCTTGATGTAACTTTTTTTCACCTCATGCTCGCCAGGTTAATCTGCCACTAATACAGTAAAAGATTTTGATCATTAAATCAATTTTAAATATGACCTTAATAATTATTTCAATTTATATTTGACAATTAATTAACAAAATTATAAATATAATGATTATGACTTTAATGTTTTTCTTTTTATTTATATACCACTATATTATTATCACAAAACTATCAGTAGTTAAGTCAAATGAGAGAGAGAGAGAGAAAAAATATACTGTATTGCACACTAAAACATAATTAACATTAGAAAGCAGTAAACAAGCAGAAACATTTCTTAAATAGGCTGTCTTATCGCTAAAAGTGATTTCTTCCTGACAACCATTTAATTAACAAAGTAGTTCTGGAAAAAAGGAAGATACAGCAGGTATGTTGCGGTGTACTATTAATAATACATTATTGAAAAAAATACATACATACAATAAATTTAAACATACTGTTATATATATATGCAATAGCTAGTTGATTCATATTCCAATATACTTACATACACATAATAAATCAACAGTATGGATAAACAATAAATGGTGTTTTGAAGTTTCAGTCATTGTACCTAGGTCGTATGTCCTGTGAAAGAGGTTGCACGCCACGAGAAAAGTTTAGCCTAAATCTAATACTATTAGATTTAGGCTAAACTTTTCTTTATGGTCCGTCGATTTGGAAGTTCACAATTTTTTTGTAAATAGTACTCATACCTATAGAAAGCTTTTTTAAAAATATCAAGTTGCGGAAACTCACGGTTTACGAGATATGTTACATATAAGTACGGTAATTTTTTTAAACTTTCCTTGAAACAGTGATTACTTGCTCAATCACTCTCTTGGGTTAATGGCGTTTCCTTAAATTTCGCCAATGTCAAGTGTTGATAGTGTTGATACCATAGACCTACTTCAGTGGTTGATACTCTGCTTTGTAAAGCGGGCATCGTTTTTTTTTAAGGGATTTTATGACCTGGTAACTGAGACCTTTAAGTCATGTCTTATTTTAATTTTTATTCATATTTTTATGAATAATGATATTACGGAGTGAAATGAAATGAAGATGATTAATTTGAGACATTAATCAACTGGGATGAAATTAAATGAAATGAAATGAGATGATATGGGATGAAATATAATCCCAGTAAAATGGTGGTCATTTACTAAGATTTCAGTGGACTTTTTGGAGGATCCCGAGAAGTTACGTCCAGCGGCTTTGTTTCATTTTCCCACATTTGTGCACTTTCACAGATATTAAACAGTTAATAAACCACCATTATTACACATTTAAACCAAGGGCGGATCCAGCTTTGGTGCCAGGAGGGGGTCACATAGTCATGGTCAAGTCAAGAACTTATAATTTAATTTTGATAACAATAGATACAAATAAAAAGTAGGTATTTTATTAATGTACGTAAGTACTGTACTTAAAAGTATTTATTCTTTATTGTACACTTGAAAAACTTAACACATAATAACTTGTACATATACACGTACAGATTGTCATCGTCTCTTGAAGACATTCAGAGAAGCACTATCACGCCTGGAATGAGGCAGCTTATTTATATTCCATAACCGTGGTGAATGGTTTGTCACAACAGCTAGAGGTATGTCGAGGGGTATGACGCAAAACTCCGCAAAAGTGGTACGACAAGGGTTTCCAACAAACAAAATAGAAACAGACAAAATACATATATTTAAATAACAAAATCAATTTTTCTTTTACGTCTTCTCCCGAAACGCGTTATTATGTCATTTACGTCAATGGGTATGTTTTTATGAACGTGGAGAAGTGCCAGTCCGGTTAGGCGATCTTCAACCATTGAAGATCTTTTTTTTATTTTTTTATTCTGCGCACGTTGAGAAAGAACTTTCTCCTGTCGCTACACTGACAGATAGTGTAGCCATAATACATAAAAAAAATCTTATATTAGGATACATATCGATCCTGTAGGTGGCGGCCTCCCCCCGGTGAAGGTCAAGGGGCGACCTGAGGGGGTGAGGCCGCGCGGCGCGCTACCAGCACTCTAGCGCGCCGCCGTGGAGTGATTAGAGCGACCGGTCGACGGTGTATCGCGTCCCGACCCGGCAGGCTGGTTCTGGTCCAGCGGGGTATTCCGGGACACCAGCGGCACCGTCTGGGCGGCCCGACGGGCTGCCGTACCGAGACGGCCGACGTTTCAGAGCCTTCGATTCGCCTCGAAGGCTCCGTCGGCTGGGCGTCCTTGGGGTGAGCCGCGCCGTCTGGTTGTAGTGTTGACCGCGGTAGCCCCCCTACCTCATCCGGGTTCTGACCTCGGAGGGGATCGGACGTCGGGTGTAAGAGTGNGGCTGTCATGCTCCTCGTGATTTTCGTTGGCATTTGCATCTGCAGCAGGAATAACGTCGTCTTCGCGACGTTGCTGGCGATCTTGATTTCTAGTTAAAGGCATTCTTTACAATTAAGCACCAACAGCATACAGTAGTTAGCAAATTTTTCACAAAAGCGTGCGCGCCATTTTGTTAGTCCAAGCAAGAAAAAAATTAGGAAACGTTGGGCAGCCAGATATAGTGAGGGGTAGATCTCAGGGGTATTTAAAACTATGGGTTAGTCACCAATATCGAATTTCGAATTTTAATCTTCCTTTATCACAAACAATTTTCAATTTTAAACAATAATTACATTTAGACGCGGGCGCACGCTATTCACACTCAAAACGGAAGCGCCCGGAACATAGATTATCCACTGTTGAAAAGATCGACATAGATGCTAACTATGTATAGCGAGCGGGCATACGGCCGCGAGAGTGACGTACCGGTCGGTTTGCTACAGACTATTTTTAAGTTTATGCATGCTATATTCATTCTGTAGGTTGCTCTCTTATTTTATTTTTAAAAGCATTAAAATCAATGTGGTCACGACGATACACTTGATTTCATTTTGTGAATTTATCTAAGATTTTAGGTTGGGTCAGTAACCTTATGCTCTTAAATTTCTCTCGTCCAAAAAATATATATAAGTAGGTACATAAGTCACGCAGGACTCTTTCAGTAATTAGGTACTTACATATCTACCTATGAGGTACTTTATGAGCATTAACAACAATAACATTTAAGTTAAAACACACGCACTGGAATAATGAGAAACTGATTACTTGCCATTTCTTGTAATTAAAGAATTTACAGTAATAATTTTTAAGAATACTTATAAAGGTACACTTATAAGCACATTAAAGGTACAAAGAAATTTTTGTTTTTTAACTTAGAAGTATGTTATGATAATAATATGTTGAAGTTTAGTCGTTCCGATTCCGATTGAGGTTAGGATTCAATTTGAGGTTAGGCTTAGCTAGACGTTACGTAGTCTTTTTTTTTTTTATGATTGAAAGTTTACTGGTGGCCCGAAGGCCTTTCCAGTTTCACCAGGACAGGGTTACGTAGTCGACAAGCGCGCGCGAGTACGGCGCGGTTAAAATTTTCGATGCGTTCGTTCCCAAAAATTTGCCATAATACAAAGTTATTATATTAAATTACATTAATTAAGGAGCAATATAAGGAGCAACAATATATTGTGTCCTAAATTCGTTATGTTCAATATGTGGTCCACCTAGGTCCTGGAACCCGCTCAGGGGGGGGGGTCATGACCCCCATGACCTCCCCCCCCCTAGATCCACCCGTGATTTAAACCCGAAGAAACACTAAATAGACAAAATAAAACAAATCACACAACTCCACTCCTCGCGTTCCCGCCAAAAAGTCGCGGGCTTCGTGAACGAACAAGGTCACAGATTGCAACTAGAATTAAGTGAGTACCATAAAATGGAGTAAATAGGGACAAAATCCAACTTCAGATTGATTGTATTGTATTGATTGGATTGTATTCATCATTTCGGTCCATATAAATAATTGTATAGCACCTACCTACCTATATATCGCAGTACTGCGAGCTGACAACCCTTACAAATATCCCAATTTAACCCTTACCTGTGTCAATTTACCCCGGACGCGGGGTACATTGGGACGGCCATTATTTTACCGATTATTTCTTTAAAATGAATAATTAAAATAATGTAACGGTTTTTATCACCTAGGTACGTTCAAGACTCAACTTATTTCTTTGGTTGAGCAGTGACTATTAATTGGAACTATTTTAAAATTCAATCTGAAGTTCGATTTTGTCCCTATTTACCCCATTTTACGGTATTTTGTCTATTTAGTGTTTCTTCAGATTTAAATGTGTAATAACGGTGGTTTATTGACTGTTTAATATCTGTGAAAGTGCACAAATGTGGTAAAATGAAACAAAGTCGCTGGACGTAGCTTCTCGGGATCCTTCAAAAAGTCTACTGAAAAAATCTCACTATATAACTACCATTTTAATGAGATTTTATTTCATCCCATATCATCTCATTTCATTACATTTAATTTCATGCCAGTTGATTCATGTCTCACATTAATCATCTTCATTTCATTTCATTTCACTCCATTTTATAATTTTTCATCAAAATAAGAATATACATTAAAATAAGATATGACCTAAATGTCTTAGTTACCAGGTCATAAAGTCCCTTAAAAATAAAAAATAAACAAAAATGGCGTCTATTTACGTTTGTAATTCGAAGTTAACTGACAGTTAGTGGCTTGTTTTATTTTCGAAAATAGTGAAAGCGTCCGCGTAATCATAGTGAACATTTGTATTGGAAGCGGTTGTAAGAGGGAATTCTGTCCAGGTTGTGGAATATCCTTCCATAGGTATAATTCATTGATTAATTTTTACTAGCGTATATTTTTATAATGTGAGATATTTTTTATCATTTTAATATTTAATACCTTTTGTCTTGTACATTGTACTTAATCTATGTCGTATACTAAATTTGAAAAATCAATCTTGAAAAACTATACTAATTTTGCAATATTATTAAAAGAGCCATCGAGTGGTATTTTTTTAACTTTATTTTTTTGCATTGAATAGCGTCGCAAGCATGCAATTTGCCTGACGTTAAGCGATGCGACCGCATACGGACAGTAGCAACATTTATGTGTTAAGAGTAGCAAAATCAACCGACACCATGAATTACCAAGCAATGCTTTGCATTCAACTGCGCTTAGACATATGTTAAGTCTCAATATGTCCAGTAGTTGCTCTGGCTACAGTGTCCTTCAAACTGGAACACAACAGTGCATATATACTGCTATTTGATGTGAGAAATCGTTAATTTTTTTTTCATACAGTGTAAACCTTACCTGTCCTGGTGAAGCCTCTGGGCCACCAGTAATACGTCAAACATAAAAAAAGAACAAAAACAGTGTAAACCACAAATATCAAACCGGTTGTTATAGGATTGTCACAATTTCGTGTCCTGTTTTCAGGATCCCAGCTAATGAAGAATGGAGGGCTTTGTGGATTGCTTCCATGAATCACTTCCATGAATCTTGACAATAATGTGTCAAAATGAGCATGCGTTTGTAGTTTGAATTTTAAACAAGATGACTGTTTAATAGAAGCTAAGAAAAAGTTAAAACCACAAACGGTTCCTTCAGTATTCCCTAAGGTAATAAAATGTTAACGTGTTGCCTTTTTTAATATATTATATATTACTACATAGTATTGCAATATGTTAGAGTTAGCTAAGTAACTGTTCTGTATATTAAACAATTAAGCTCAAGTAATGTATTGTATTTCTATATAATACTAGCAGACCTTACAGACTTCATTCTGTTAAAAAGATTTGGAATGTGGCAGTTTTTGTTCCTCCCTATTTTATAGTTGCGGCAAAAAATGCTACTGAATTAATTCTCCTCATCACCCTGGTGATAGGGCAGTGTGTGGGGTTCAGCTAAATAATATACAATTAAAAGTTAAGAAGTTTATTTAAAAAAATATACTTCATATTAAAAATTATGTGTCGCCGTCGTCACTATCATTATCTAATAGTGCTACCCCTTGCATTAAATTTATAGTAGCACCTGAGCTGGTGGAAGGAGTCGGCTCCTCATCCTCGACATAACTCTCGTCGCTGGAAGAGTCGCTGTCGTCACTGGCGTAAACAATGAAACGCTCAGTGACTAAATCGACTATATGGTCACTTTGGATGTAGTCAGCCTCAATTTTTTTTACCTTCCCGCATAATTGCGACCATTCATCGGCGCCCATCAATTAGACCTTCTCCTTTACTAAGCCCATCACACTGGTTGCATTCCATGTAATGTTCTTGCTGGCTACATATCCTTTGATTGAAGCCCATGCCATTTCTATAGGATTTAGGTCCGGATGGTAGGGTGGTAATCGCAAGACGCTATGGTTATGTTCTGCAAGTATCTGGTCAATACTATATTTCTTGTGTTGTTATTTATACAGTCTAATCAATTTGTGTAGCTGAGGTTTGAGCATACTCTCTTCGTATGGTATGTCCTTTTCCGCCAACCACCTCTGCATATCCGCTTTCTTGGCATTCGAGGTAGGTGCAGGATCGTACTGTTTGTTGTGGTATGATGCGTTATCGATTACTAATACAGCATTTGGCGGCAGGTTAGGTATAAGTTTGCTGCGAAGCCACTTGGTATAATTTTCATAATTCATGTTATCATGAAAGTCGCCAGATTTTGTTCCCGCTTTAAATAAGAGCAACACATTAGGAACAAAGCCAACTTCGGATCCAGCGTGCACCATCACAATCCTTTGTCCTTTCGAAATTGATTTTTTAAGCCCCTTTGATGATCCATCTGACCACGCCTTAGAACCTGTAATAAGAGATATAATGATTAATATTCGTAAGTGTGTCTCTTTCAACGTCCAAACTATTTCACAGGACACAAATATGCGGGAACAAAGTATGGTAATTGTTACATACCTGAATGAGATGAATCAACATACGACTCATCTGTGTAAATAATAGATTTTCCTTCTTGCCTATATTTAAGAAGTGTTTTAAGGAACTTTTATTTTATTTTTTTATTGCTTAGATGTGTGCACGAGCTCACAGCCCACCTGGTGTTAAGTGGTTACTGGAGCCCATAGACATCTATAACGTAAATGCGCCACACACCTTGAGATATAGTTCTAAGGTCTCAGTATTGTCACAACGGCTACCCCACCCTTCAAACCGAAACGCATTACTGCTTCACGGCAGAAATAGGCGGGGCGGTGGTACTTACCCGCGCGGACTCACAAGAGGTCCTACCACCAGTAATTACGCAAATTATAATTTTGCGGGTTTGATTTTTATTACACGATGTTCACCTTCATCCTTCACCGTGGAAGTCAATCGTGAACATTTGTTTAGTACGTATTTCATTAGAAAAATTGGTACCCGCCTGCGGGATTCGAACACCGGTGCATCGCTCGATACGAATGCACCGGACGTATTATCCTTTAGGCCACGACGAATTCGAACTCAATCCTTAGCAACCTAATGTTAATTTTTTCTATTGTCTTCGGCTTTTTTCCACCGGAAGCCTAAATTATTCAGAATTCTGCGCAGACTGCGTTCAGAGCCAATAAAATTGATGTCTTCTTTTAATTTTTTTCGTAGCTTTTCTACTGTAGGCAGCTCTTTATTTGTAATGTGGTAATTATGCACACAGGTTCTTATCACAGAATGGTCAAAACTATCGATCTCTGTGATCGGCTATGCTTTGTTCTTTTTTTCCCTGGTGTTCTAAAGAGAGTGAGGAATTAGGAATTTCTGCCTTCTTTGACTATACGTCTGACTGTCCTTTTTGACGTTTTGGTAGCTTCTGCAGTCCGTTTTACTGTCTCTTTCTCATTTTGAGCTTCTTTCTCCATGAAACAGTACACATCATAAACCATTTTTCTGGCTTGTCTGCGTAAAATGATGTTTGGTCTTGGCATTGCAAACAAATTTAAAACAATAACACGTAACAAAAACTAAATTTAAAACAAAAATAATAACTTGTAACAAAAACTCAATATATATTATATAAAATCTGCCACTTTAGTAGGCGCAAGTGTAAGCAGGAGTGAACGGAACGTAGACACGGTGCGGAAGGCAAGGGTCGACTGGCGTACCAATCGCGCGCTCGGAACGGTGCTACGTCTTTCCCCGCGTCCCGCTTGCCAAGTTACGTGCCGGGGACTATAGGTAATAATAATAGGTACACAAAATAACTACATTATGATTTATGATAGTAAATATTTATGATTCTTCTTTCCATCACACTTTTCAGGTTTTGGATTGTCGTCATTGAATAATTTTGTTCTATGTGAAGCCAATATTGTGTAATTACTGATTAGTTAAAGTAAATTTGTAAATAAGAATTATTAAACTGCTGGTAAAAAAGCGTGATTTGATTAGACGCCACAATACCTACCTACCTACGACAAAGTTCAACAAAGTCGGCGCAAAATATGTGAATAAAAATATTTACAATAATATAACGATCATAAACAAACTTACAGTTTAATCTGTACTCACACGGCGTTGTCGTTTTAGAACATTTTCAAAATGTCCACCGCCTTGTTCAATGCACTTTAATGACCGTTTTCGTAATTGTTGTTTTATTTTAGATAATACTGCAATGTCACTTTTCACTTTTTCAAAGGCGGTTATTATCTTATTCTTTAGTTCTTCGGCACTTATTGTCTGTGTGTTATAAACTAGCGATTTTATTCGCCCCCACAAAAAAAAGTCGAGAGGCGTCAAATCAGCTGATCTAGGAGGCCACTGAACAGGCCCTCTGCGCCCGATCCAGCGTTCTCCGTACTCGGCATGAAGATGCTGGCGAAAACTCCAGGTGAATTGCGCGGAAGCACCATCGTGTTGGTAAAATACGTCTTGTAAATTAACAAGAGGTACGTCCTCTAATAGAGTAGGTAAAGTTTCTCGTAAAAACAGTAAATATGACTCTCCTGTCAGACGTTGTAAAAATACTGGTCCCAGTATGTGTGTACCGATCATAACCGCCCAGACATTGATTGAAAATCAATGTTGGAAGGAGTCTACTCTGCATGCGTGTGGATTTTCATGCATCCATAAATGCGTGTTATGTTGATTGTACATTCCCACACGTGTGAATGTACTTTCGTCAGTCCAACTAATGTTTCGCTGCCAATTTTGTAATAACCAGCGGCAGAACTCTAAGCGTGGTAAGTAGTCACTTGGCGTCAGCTCCTGGCATCGCCTGAGGTGGAATGGATGCTCGCCATCACCACTAAGCATGCGCCATATATGCATATGGCTACAGCCAAAGCGTGGTGCTACTATGCGGATTTTCGTCGAAATAATCGAGAATTTCGTTTTGGAGACGAGTGTGTGTACGCATATTGTCTCCCCTGTCGATAGCCGTGTTTGGACGAAAAGTTCTGTGGTCTCGAAGCCGTTGTGTTGCTGATAACATAGTGCGGCGGTCTACACTAGTACCGTATGTCGTGTTAAATATTCTACACGCTAGTGCCACATTATCATCACACCGTGCCAAAGTTCTCACCATTTCTGTGTATTGAACGTTAGTATACCGAAAAGACATAGCGAAATACGGGAGATATTTTATTTGCACTATCACTTGACCTCTTATTGATAAGGTGGACGCGGCGTGACTGACTTGTCAAAAATATTTTGATGACTTCGTTGTTTAGATTTTTCTTTGATCACCGCCGACGCAACCGCGTCGCCGCGAACATCGGGAATAGCCTGCCGTCTCACTCTATTGTAAGAATATTAAGCCGACGAAAGAAAGGGATAGTAATTATTTTTGTATTACGTGGCTTTCTTTTATGTATTGTATGTAGTGTTGCTGTGTGCCGGCGGTCGCTGATGGTATTGTGTGCGTAGGTATTTTATTTTGTAATAGACTATTAGCCTTGAAATAAGTATCAGATTTTTTAAATGAAATAATATTTTTTTTACTAATTAGATATTTCATTTTAAAAAGTCTTAATACCCTGACTTACGTTCCATTTTCGTTTCTATGAACTGTTTAGCTAGCTGTGTAGGGTGAAAAGAAAGTTAAACAAATATGAACTCTATTTCTTTCGAAGGAGAGTCTTCTTTCATGCATAGAAATTATAGAAATTAGAATAAAAGGGGCTTCCCCGAAACTGGGTCATGTTGCCGATATTCAATAGTACCTATATTATTCTGTCAAAGGAGTTTTATTTTGCGGCTCTGGATATTTGTCTTTTGTGACAAAGGATTTCTTACATTGTTGCCAGAACTATTTACATAAAATAATGTTACAATGGATTAAATATAAAAAAAAACCTACGTTTCCAGTACGATTTCGATGCTCGACCGTACTCGCGTAATGTTTGCAAAAAGTCGTACAAATACGATTTAAACCGCACAGACGGCAGTGTTTTATCAGATCTGATTACAATTTTGTGATTATCAGATGGCATCAGATCCAGTGCAGTGTGAAACGATATAAGCAATTGATTGTGTTCATGAAATAATGTTTGTAATTGTTCTACAATAGACCTCTTTACTGAATTGCTATTTAAACAACGCAGATCAATTTCTTGTATTTGCAGGTATTTGTAGTTGCTACCTGACACTGGTAACAGTGAACCTGCTCTGTGATATATTTGGCCTTGTAAAAAAAAAATGTTTGTACCAAACGCTATAAAATAAAATAAAACCAATCATCACCAAATAATATGATGACAGTAATATATTTCTTGGGATTAGAGATTTGATGATTAGTGACACATCTTAACTTAGGTGACAGAAAATATTGTTCGCTAAACTAATTATGACTTGTACATTCATACCTTGAAAGTTGGCATGAAATTTTGCCCAGCTGCATTTGTTGCCCCGAGTGAAGTCATTTGAAAGCAATTGTTATATTGTTGGATATTTGTCAAAAAGTGTATGGAATCTGTTCCTATTCCAGGACACTACAAGGAGCGTCAGGTGGAGTGCCGGTGATTAAGTCCGCAGGCAGCCTCAATTCTCTCCGAAAGTTTGCGAAAGCCGTCGTCACAGTCGTACTTTCGTGAACTGCACTGCGGTGCGGTATTTCTAAGGGGTACTCCAAACCGACAGAACACTTCAGGTACTAATTTATCGGCGTTCGTCGAGGCTTCATGATAAGGAATGGTGAAAACTTCGGGCCACTTTCTGAAGTAATCCATCACCACCATGCAGTACTTGTTTCCACTATCGCTATCTAGGAACGGTCGGGCAAAGTCGAGTGCGAGTTCTTCCCACGGATCTCCAACGTTGTACAATTTCAGTGCACCTTTAAATTTTAAATTATTTATTGATTTCATTTTCCTGATAGTAATTATGGTCGAAAGGAACGATATGTTTATATCACTGTCACTTGCACAAACGTCGTCATCTGACGTATTCGAATCTGTCCTTGAAAGTAGAGACACGACATATTGTTCTATACGTACAATTGCTTATATAAATAGCATCAATTTTGAAGGCACACAAATTATGGTCGAAAGGAACTATATGTTTATATCACTGTCACTTGCACAAACGTCGTCATCTGACGTATTCGAATCTGTCCTTTAAAGTAGAGACACGACATATTGTTCTATACGTACAATTGCTTATATAAATAGCATCAATTTTGAAGGCACACAAATTATGGTCGAAAGGAACGATATGTTTATATCACTGTCACTTGTACAAACGTCGTCATCTGACGTATTCGAATCTGTCCTTTAAAGTAGAGACACGACATATTGTTCTATACGTACAATTGCTTATATAAATAGCATCAATTTTGAAGGCACACACATAAACATATATCTATCTCGTTCTTACTCAGCACTGTAACTCGCAGGAAAACAATTTACAGTATTTCAGTGCGTACATAGAATGAAACATGAATATACGTAAATACCTAATAAGGCCGAAAATCCGCCATGTTTAGCGCACCAAATGTCATTGTCAGTCAGTTCAGCCGTCTGTCTTGGGTTGTACATTATTTATTGACTTTGTATCGATTTAATATGATTGCTTATATAAAATTTCGCTACCTCGCTTAAAACATACAAAAATAATAATTAAAACATATTTTATAGGATCCCAAGAAAGTCAGTGCAAGAAAGTCAGTGCCCCAAAACTATTATCTATATATATTTAAATTCATTATGGAGCACTCATCCGAAAAATCGGACACTATTTTTCGGTTGGAATCTATTGATCATGACACTAATCATAAATACCTCTTAATATAACCTACATCTCAGTAGGTCGCGTTACCGATCCGGTGGTAAATTCTGCGAAGCACTGCTCTTGCTAGGGTCAGTGTTAGCAACTCTCCGGTTTGAGCCCCGTGAGCTCACCTACAAACGAGCTGAAATAGCCTCTCAAGGGTACCAGCATAGGTAGGGAAAAAAACCGCTCATTCATTCGTGTCCGAGCCGTAGTACAGTACGGATCTCTCTGGAACGTTGTTATGCTTCTCGTGAAATATACGCAGCTCACCAAGTTCTTATGAAGTTTTGTTTCGAAAGCTCAAACATGAGTCATCGTCAAGAACTTAATAACTGTGACGTCGGCAATGCTGACGTCACACTTTTAAAAAACATTACGGAGATTTCTCCATTGTTGTTTCTCCTCCGTCATATATTTTGATCTGAATGTTAGATCGATGTGGTGTTAGTTCGATGCGCTACGATGATTAAAGTAGTGCGTACTTGTTTTAGCAGATGGCGTTGCCATGATCAGAGTATTTTTGGAAGACTTTGAAAGACGCGGTTTTCTTATTATAAAAGAGGTTATATTTTCACTACAATGTATTTATTAGCACTATTGTTCGTTCTTAATTACTCCTTACCACCAAATAATGATCAAATACCGTCCAAAATGTCATGCACTTGGTAATAAACACGAAAAGATTCATAAGTCGCTAGTGATTTTTTGTCGTTTAACTTTCTTCGGATTCAAATAGTATATTTATTATGAATGGTTTGATTATTGGTTATTAAATTTATGATTCCGCTCCTGTAAACTTGCTTAAATAAGCTACTACGCGTCTACGTCCATCATTTTGTACCTGCATGACGACCTGTTCCTCCATAACCTATCGAACTCGCATCAGTGCGCAATTCATTTCACGGCTCCGGATCGAATATTGCGAGAACTGGTTCGTTAGTAAAATGAGAAATTATTTCTGGGCGCGCTTTTTCATGTTCATTACTCCAATAAAATTTACACTCTTTTTGGTTAAAGCGGCAATGTGTGCAGTTTTAGTCGCATAGTAAGGAATGTATCTTCGAAAATATCCTGCTAAGGCAAGAAATTGTCGAACCTGTTTCGATTCGGTCGTGGAGACTTAACTTTCTTCAAGTTAATAGAAAAACCCGCTTGTTAGTTTTTTTATGACA